ATTGTAGCTACTATTAAAAAAAATATCATAGAGAAATTTATACTAAATGGATCTCACTAAAATTGACATTTGAATTCAACTGATGATGCGATAAACTCAACTACACTCTATTAAAAGTATGGTGGAATCCAAACCTCCACTTAATCTCATTAGTTAATATGAACAATTATGAAAGTGCAAATTGATAAACTACACATAAAGCAAACGAATTTGTGCATAGAAAATTAAAAAAAAAAAAGGTGTGTTACTAAAAAAAATTGAAAATGTGGCTACCAATTAAAACATGTATGCCCTTACATCATCTTTTGTCTTATCTTTGTCTAAAAAAATTTAACAAAAAAAAATAGAAAGCGATGGGAATCGGATGGGAACTGACCTAAAAAAAGTTGCTTTCTTGAGATTACTCATTCAAAAATTAATAAAATAATTTTTTTGAGAAATAACCAAAACATTAATAAGCTTAAGCTCATGATTATTAAATTAATAGTTTTTAATAACATTGTTATACCTAATAAATTAATAATAAATGTAAGAAATGTAGTAACAAAAAGCATAAGAAGGTCAAAGCCATTTTCATTTTTTTTCTATAGATCATTATTAATATTATTATTGTCTTTCTTAACTTTGAAGGTGGCTGTAACTTCTCTAGGTCTTTATTGAAAGGAAATAATTGGTGGACGTGATACAATTGAATGCAATTGGATAGATTCCACTATTTGCTTACTTTGGTTGAAAAACAATGGACTTTTTTTGTTCTTATTCTTGAATTGTAAAAATTGTTTTAAAAATTGGACAGAAAGTTAAATTGTTGATATTATCAACTTTTAGTTTAACATATTCTTTTGATCTAATCAGTTTAACTAGTTGATACAATTAAAACAGATTTTGTTGTTTATTATTAGTCAAGAAAATAACACCTGTAATTCTTAAATATTGAATACAATTTTCCTTTAGTCTCTAATTTTTAAAAAGTTTTAATTAATTTTTTAATTGCTCAAAATTATCCTATTTGGTTTCTTCTATCTATGAAATTGTATAAATTGAAGATAAATGCTAACTGACATTACATGAATGATATCGGGTAATATCACATATAGTATATGTGGAGACTACAATAGAATCTAGCTTAAAGTTATGGTATTTTTAATTAATACTTTAAAATGATATAGAGTTTATTATTTGATTTTTTAAAACGATAAGAATTTTTTAAAAGGTTTTCAAAATTTTAAATCAATTTTAATTTTTTAAAATTCATTTTCCATTAAAAATAGTATTTTACTGATAAATAATATTGTAATAAAAATTATTTTAAATTATAATAATATATAAAATATATTTGAAATATAAAAATTGATTGTTTCTTTAATTATTTTTTTTTATTTTTTGGTTTTTCTTCTTTATAAAATATATTTTATAAATTATATTAGAAAAAGGAAAAGAAAAAGATATTTAATATTTTTCACAAAAAATTAATTTTTTTGGTTAGACAATAATGTTTTTTAATATGATTTATTAGTAAAATAATTTTTTAATGTAAAATATTGATATGAAATTTTTTAAAAAGATTTTGAAAATTTTCATTTAATTTTAATTTTTGAAAAAATATTTTTATCAAAAACAAAAAATATTTAAAAAATAAATTTGATTACAATAAAAAATATGAAAATATTATTTTAATTTAAATATTTTATAAAAATATATTTGAAATATAAAAAAATTTTAAGGTAACAATATTTTTTGTTCTTAAATTTTGAGCAAATTTTTATGTTAATCCTTATATTTGCCACATAAAATACTAACTAATACCATCCACTTAACGTTAGCTGTAATTTACTGTCAATTTAGATAGTTTCATAGATGAAATGATAAAATTATGATAATTTTACGTAATTAGGGATCTAATTAAAACTTTTTAAAAAATTATGGACTAAAATATAATTTAATTCAAAGTTTAGGAACCACGAATGCTATTAACTTTTATTATTATATATAAAAAAATGTTCAAGTTTTAAAATTCTATCCTTTATAATTTTTAAAAAATAGCCTGTATTTACCATAAATTTAAATAGTTTTATAGACGAAATGATCAAATTATGATAATTTTATGTAACTGAAGATCTAGTTAGAACTTTTTAAAATTTAAGGATTAAAATAAAATTTGACTCAAAATTTAGGAATTACGAATGCTATTAACTTTTATTATTATAAAAAAAGAGGTTAGGGATTCAAAATTCTATCCTTTGTAATTTTTAAAAAAATATTAAATAATAAAAAATTATGTGAAATTTTTATTTTTTAAAAAATTATTAATTGTGATGATGAATGTGAAATTGTAGTAATAATTCTCAATTATAATTGAGATTTCCATTTTTTTTTCAAGTTACAAGTAACAAAATAACATAAAACACCTTAACATCTCATGAAAAAAAAAGAAAAAAAAAAGCAACCACCCACTTAAAATAATTAAAATAATATTCATTATATAATTATATATTTTTTACACTTTTGTCATTTATCCCTTTTATTATCAATGCTTAAATACTAGTAAATATTAAGTTTATTTAATTGTAAAATAACATATTTCATAGGTTAAAGTATGAGGATACTTGGGGAATAATATGTGGGCTCTTGCTAAAGAACAAATTTATTGAACATGGCTCACTATGAGAACAACATTTGGTATCTCACTTAAATGTTTATAGAAACATTCTTGTATGTTAGTTGTATAATTAGTCTTTCGATTTGAAACACCAAGTCATTTTATATGTGAATCATTATACTTTGATTTTATTTTTACAGGTCATGCACTTAATGTCTAAAAAGAGTGTTTTGGTTATGGTCTGAAGCATACGAAAATAGATAAGTAGTCAATAGAGGATCCATCACCTTAAATGATATGAAAAGACATGTCTCATTTACTCTTGACTTTAGTTAATTTTATAAAGTTTTTAACCAAAGCAAGTTGATGAATTTAGAATAAAGAATTTCTTGCTAAATCCATACATGCGGATTAATAGCTGCTAAAATTAATATAAAAGGTATTTGTGAGTAAATATTGTACTATGCTCATGATCTTCTGGGATATTTGAGGGAAGGATTAAATTATACTATTAGACTGGACATTGAAAGGTCAAGATAACATTGACTCTCCAATATTTTGATGGTCAAGACGTATTGCTAAATGCCGTTCATAATCTATGAATATATATATATGTTGGTTATCTTTAATCAATTTGAGTTTTATTTATTGCCAACATATTGAAAGCCTAATGGGTCACACACATAAGGTAATATTGCCAAATTAAATTGGAATTACTCAATTAAGTTAGACTTTATTGGAAGAAACCAAAAACAAAGAGGTTAAAAATTAGGATTTTTATGGACTTAATTGAAAAGATGTAAAAGTTACATCTTTAAGTGCTAAAACTGAAAATTGAAGAGAATTATAAATAGACCTCTTAGGCCTTTAGTCGAAGAGAACACAAGAGAATTGCATGATTGTGAAACGATTGGTGACTTGCGACAAACACCTTAATTTTTTTAGGTTTGGTTGCAACTTGTGTTATTTTTGAAAAAAAAAAATTTTCTTCTCCTTGATACTTTTAAGGCATTCAAACAAGATATGACTGTTTTCTTTTGATTTGTGAAATAAAAAATTTTTTTAGCACGAGTTTAGAATCCTAACTTTAGAAGATTTTAGCAAAAATTATTGTGTGGATCATTATTGGAGGCTAAACAATTGGGTGATTTTAGTCTTGATCCTTTTCGGTTTTCAATATCTACATTGGGCTAATTTTACTTAAGATTACGATATCTTTGAATACTGATATGATTCAAACTAATGTGTGTTTAAAAATTTTAAATTATAAGTACAAATACAAGTATGATATTAGATATATTCGCCTGTTCTCTGTTTATTTATTTTATCACATATTTGATACATGTGATGTATGTTTTAATTAATAGCTAATTGCATGATCCCAAATACAACCAATAAATCATAGTACTCTACTTAAGTATTATATAAATGATGCTTATGCAATTGCAAATAATTTAACATTAATTAACCTAAGTCTAGATTAAATGACTTTGATAGTTTGCACCAAAAAAATAAAGTACAATACTCTTCCTTCAAGGGCATGCTATCAAAATACTCCATCTAAAAGTAGAGTTATCAAAATTGATCCAAATCTTAAAAATTTGTCCAACTTTGACTAAATTCAAACTAAATCCAATATGATAAAAAAATTCAAATTTATCAAACCCAAACTCTAAATAATTTTACTTTGAATTAATTAAAATTTAAAATAATTCAAATTTGAAATTTATTGATTTTACTTTAAAATTTAATAATTTAAATTTAAAATATGTCAAATAATTTAAATTCAAAAAATTTGAATTTAAAATAATTTAAACTGAAATCTTTCTAAATTTTAACTCAAAATGATAAAATCCAAACCTACCCCTATATACCATTTACAACCTTTAATCTTAAAGTCTCATCGGCACCACGCAAGTATCAGCCCCTTTAATTAATGCGAACAATTATGAAAGTACAAATTGATAAACTACAACTAAATCAAATGAATTTGGCAATACAAAATTGAAATGTGGCTTCCAATTGAAACACGTATGCCTCACATCATCTTCTGTCTTAACAAAAGATTGCTTTCTTGGGATTGCAAATTCAAAAAATAATAAAAAATAATTATTATTTTGGGGAATAACAACGAATTTGATGTTCAAAATTAAGTACAACAAGATTCCTTAATTGATAAGCATAAGCTCATATGATTAATTAAATTAATTAATACTTTAGTATATTGTTATCCTAATAAATAAATAAACGTAATAAATGCTTAAGAAGGTCAAAGCTATCTCCAATTTTTAATGCATCACCATTATTGTCTTGCTTTGCTTGGAAGATGGCTGTAACTTCTTCTCTACCTCTTTATTGAAGAAATGTGATAAAATTGAATCAATGAGATTACCGAATTTTAGTCTAACAAATTCAATTGATTTTGATCAATTCATTTCTTGTTACAAAGCTCGAAAAAAGATTGTGAATACCGTCGTATGAACTTCACATGCTGAATATTTTACTGTTGTTAATGCTGCACCCTTACTCCCCCACCGTCAGTTGATCAAAGTTGATTTTCTTCATCAAGACAACAGATCACCGTTTGCTCATTTTTATTTATTCCACATAAAAAGGGGACCATTGACAAGGAAGAGAACAAAGAAGCAAACTAGAATGAGAAACACTTGATCCTACAGAATAGGGGTAACTTAGTCACTAAATAAAAACTGAAGTTAGGACAAAGTAAATAGCTCTTAAACTAAAGGGTAATATAGGAATTAAATAATAGCTCCTTCTTTTCCTTTTTCTGACTACTTAGCAGAAGATAGAATAGATTTGCAGAAAGGAGTCAGAGATTGAAGAAACGGAGAGAGATTTGTGAACTCATTTTATCAGTCTAAAATAAAATAAAGGTTTCAAATTTCGAAATTGGTTTTTTTTTTTTTTTTTTTTGTTTTTAAATTGAAACCCAATTCTTTTGCCAAGTCTAGAGTCTTTCAGACAACAGTGATGGCGGCTGATTTATGTAATCCCTCTTCAAACCTACAATCATAAACCCATTTATCTTTCAGCTTTCAGGTATTCTTTTTGCAACACAAAAGGGGTTTTTTCCTTTTTTTGTTTTGATGTTTTTACCTTTTGTTTCTCTAAGTCTAGTTATTTATATGAAGTTAATGAGCTCATTCTATTTTGATCTCTACAAAATGCAAAGATTAGGGTTTTTCTGGTAGGAAAATTTAAAACCCAAATTTGCAATTAGGTTTCCAATCCCAATTTTCAAGCTATCTTTTAGCTTTTATATCTCTATCTCTATTTGTAAGTAATGATTATACAAAATAAGGGTTTTTTTGTCCATTCTTCCTTGATAAGGTTTTTTATAACAGTTTTGATTTGTATGTGAATCTTACTTTTAGTTTTATAGTTTTTATTTAAAGTTAGTAGATGTGAATTATATTGAAATATCGAGCATTAATTTAATTTATAGTTGTTTTTATTGTTCATATTATTACTTGGTGCTTCTGGTTTAAATGCAACATACATTTACCAAAAAAGAGAAAGTAGTTTCAAGTTTAAAACAGGAAAAAGAGCTTATATTTCTTTTCATTTTCATTTTCATTTTCATTCTTCTTTTGGAGCCAATAACAATTAATGTTTGAAGGAGAGATTAGAGAAAGTAAAAAAATTGATATCCAGGTTACTTGATGAAATGAATGAGGTATTTAGGGTTCTATTTGTGAGGTTTACTGTACTGTACTAATGTCTAAAAAAAGTGTAAACAGTATCTTTGTTTTAGACTGTTTTGTGTATTTATTCTTTTATTTACTTTTTTGGTGTGAGGGATGAGATTGGAGGATTGATATTCTATTCCAATGCCTTTCTTCGCTATAACTAAGTTTGGACTGCAAAGTTATGTAATTCTGCTAAATAGCCGACAAACCAACTTTCTATGTGTCATAATGAAGAAGACTAGAGTCCAGGCTAATTGATAGGGAGCTTATTTTCTGTATCTCTGCCATTCTCCCCCCTTCATGTCTTTGGTTGGATGGTCTTACAAGTGTTTGGGAGATTTGGTGATCCTATCTATTCTATCCTCTCAGTTTAGACTAATGTTGTTTTTCCCCCTTAGCAACTAGTTTTCACATTGATTTTTTGTATTTGGAAAAATGGGGTATTCGAAGCCAGCTCTTTGAGCAGAGGGACATGTGCACCTGCAATTGAGCGAAATGCTTGGGGTGCTTTTATTCATTGATTTATCTTAAAAAAAAAAAAGAGAAACATGAAAAGAAAGGTTTTCAGTGACTTAGGCATTGGGTGAAAGGGGAAAATAGGGAAGCATTCTTTAAAAGGGCTTGTCTCGTTCAGGGTTGTAACTTTTTTATCATTTGATCTGTTGCTTATGTCTTTTTTGTGAATTATATCCTTTGGGACTAGGAAAAGGTGGGAGAACCTTAAGAAAGATAAGTTGGATTTGAGTTATTAATTTCTCTTTGTTGCTGTTTAGCATCTGAAATGGTGAACAATAAGCATCAAATTACAGATATCAACTATCCCATGAGTGGATTTAGGCTTCTCTTATTCCTTCACATTGAGTTTCTTAATACCAATCTGAATTTTGGTGAACAATAAGCATCAAATCAAATATCTGTGCCCTCCTCTACTTCCTTTGTTTCTTTAGGCTTTTCTTTTATGACTTCATTCAATTTCTTAATACTATTTTTCTAAGTCCTGAAAAAGCTAGGATTTCACGTTTCAATTACAGTCTTGCTTCTAATCAATTTAAGTTAATATTAAGGTGTTAATGATTGAAAAATGATGTGGTGTTAATGGTATTTAGCATCACATTTTCTTGTTAAAATTATAAAGGTGTCTTTTTTGGGTTCACATTGCACATTGGTTCCTAGATTCTTTCTTCTTTGTATTACTTTCTCATTACTCAAACTTAGTTATGAATTCTGTTACTTGCAGCGAAATCTGATTTAAAGTTTGTCTTGTTGCAGGACCAATAGCAGTTATTTGTCATAAATGTTCCTGATGGCTAGTGCCATCTTGTTTTTGGTTCCGAAACTGGAAAATGAATAGAAAGTGCTATCGAGTTGCGGTTGTGTAGCAAGTTTGACTGTTCTGTAGTTAATTGTGATTGTTTGTTTGCGGAAGAAGTTTGTGATTTCTGTACGTATTTATCAGCCTATTTTTATATGTGAGTGATGCCATGTGGGCACCTGGACCCAATTGAGACTAAATGAACGGAGAAAAATCCCAACACTATTTTCATGGAACAATCAATAGTTCGTAAACAATACAACTCTGTGGAGCATGGAAATGGGGAACTCCCTCATGCAACTCAAGCATTTATGCTAGATCCTATGAGTAGCTTAAATATGAGTATAAGACCTGCTGAGCTAAATGGATCAGAAGTTAAACCTGTACTTAATTATTCCATACAGACTGGTGAGGAGTTTGCTCTTGAATTTATGCGGGATCGGGTATATCCTAGGAAGCCTTTCATCCAAAATTCTCTGGGTGAATCCAGTTATGCAACAGAATATATGGATCTAAAAGGTATTTTAGGCATTAGTCATACAGGGTCTGAAAGTGGGTCTGAAATTTCAATGCTTAACATGGTGCAGAAAGGTCCAAAGGGGTTTGAAAGAAAAGACTCTATACAGGAAAACCAAAGTAATTATGGGTCACTTCAATCAGTACGACATACTACATTGGGCTATGACAATAATAGAGGACTTTTGCATGTGTCACTTGGTAACTCTGATAGCACATCACCAAAGATGAAGGTTCTCTGCAGCTTTGGTGGGAAAATCATACCTCGACCGTGTGATGGAAAGCTAAGGTATGTTGGAGGTGAAACACGTTTAATTCACATCAGAAAGGATATTTCATGGCAGGAACTTAAGCAGAAGATATTAGCTATTTATGACCAAGCTCATGTGATTAAATATCAGCTTCCGGGAGAGGACTTTGATGCTTTAGTTTCTGTGTCTTCAGATGAAGATCTGCAGAATATGATAGAGGAATGTAATGAACTTGAAGACAAAGAGGCCTCTCAAAAGCTGAGGATATTTCTGTTCTCACTGAGTGATTTGGAGGATGCTCAGTTTGGTCTGGGCAACATGGATGGTGATTGTGACATTCAGTATGTGGTAGCTGTAAATGGAATGGACTTGGGAACAAGGACAAGCTCTTCTCTGCATTGGTTGACAAGCTTTTCAGCTAACAATCTGACAGAACTAGATAGCAAGAATATAGAAAGGGAAACAAGCAGAGTTGCAAGAGACTCGGTTGTGGTTAGCTCTTCAAACATTCCCAGTATTATGGTGTCATCAACTTTTCAGTCTTCTCAACCAGTTCTATCAAGTTCCTCCGGTGCCTTTGAAACCCATCCACAGTTTTACCATGGCCCGACGATGGGGTATCCATTACAGTACGGTCATGATTGTTCTAATTATTCCTATATTGCAGAATTCTCTAATTCAATTCCTCCTAATGGGTTTATGAATAGACATGAATGCATGAAAGAAGTGCAACCATACAATGGCCTACAACAGCAGAATCTGCCAGTGCCGGTGAATGAGTTGAAACCAAAACCTGATGGTTCAGGTTACCGGGGTAATGACCTTGAAAAACATCATCTCTTGGAAACAGATCACCTAGGTTCTTCTCAGCCACACGATAGAAAGGTGATAAATCATTTTCCGCTTGAAGAAGTGCCAGTTGCAGTTGCTTCACAAGATCTGCCTTTTTTTACTTCAAAAAATGAAGCTAAAAACCAGGAAAATGAAAAAGTTGTGTCTTCTGTTGATGCTGTGAATCAAGTGCTGGTTCCTAAACAGGGTAATGATGACTATCATTCTACATCTGGTGGTGCATTTGATCAAGGTTATGTTGATTCTGATTCTAATCCAACTGATTTAAGCTACCTCGAGTCCCCAGTGCCTCCTCACAAGGTTTACTATTCAGAGAGAATACCTCGGGAGCAGTTAGACTTGCTGAGTCGATTGTCAAAGTCTGATGATTCATTAGGTTCTCAGTTGCTGTTATCTCACCCAAAATCTAATGTAGCACAGCAAGATCCAAATGCAGAAACTGTTGAAAATTTATGTGATAGTAATATCGCTCCCCATGCTGAAGGCTCAGTTTCAAAACCTTCAAATATAGATCATCAAACCATTGATAATGGTCTTGCAAAACTGCAAAAGTGCAAAGAATTTGTTGATGCTACTTCTAAGATGAACTCAAAGCTTTCTGAAGAAGTGTTGGACACAGTTTTGAAGCAGGCAGTTTCAAACGCTGTGGACAATATGCAAGCTGCAAACAAGGATACGTTTCAGGTTGATTGTCTGAATGATAACCTTCCAGATGATCAAAAGATACTCACATTTGATGAGAAAGCAGAAACTGGAGTGGGACTTCATGCAGTATGTGAAGCAGATTTTCCTATGCACCATGAGGACAACTTGACTAGCAAAAACCCTCCAGGGCATCTTCATGTTGATTTGAAGACAGAGAGTTCAACTAAAGATGATTCTAAAGAGAACCATCAAACTGGTTTTTCCAGGACAGAGCAGGGAGACATTCTTATTGATATCAATGATCGATTTCCTCGTGACTTCCTTTCTGATATGTTTTCCAAAGTAATGCTTTCTGAGGAGTCCTCTGGTGTTAGCCCACAGCAGACAGATGGAGCTGGCTTGAGCTTGAACATGGAAAACCATGAACCAAAACGCTGGTCGTATTTTCAGAATTTGGCACAAGATTATGGTGAAAAAGATGGTTCCCTCATTAACCAAGATCACAGATCAGATCAGCTTACCCCAGTAAATGTAGTTCCATTGAGCCAAGTTGATTCGGATCAAAATTTTGGTGAACACAACCAGAAGGACAATCAACCCCAAGTGCAAATCAGTGAAAGTATGCAGTTTGATGCCATGATTGAGAACCTAAGAACACCAGACTTAGAATATGAGGTACTTAATTTCAATGGTCAATTGATTTTGTACACCTTGTTTTCTCGAAAGATATCTGCTAACAGAATTTATGACTACTTGGGTTCTTCTAGAAGGGGAAGTCAGAAAAGAGAAATCTTGGTCTACCTCCTTTGGATCCTTCTCTGGGAGATTTTGATATCAATACATTGCAGGTATGCTGCCTATGTTGCAGGTTTTCCTGCTTTTATTGATTCGTGCATTTGAAATGAATAATGCCTGTGTTGGAGTGGGCTACCGTTGGTAATTTGCAACAAACAAATGATTTATTTAAAATTTCAAATTTTGTTCTGGATTTTTATGTTGCATCTCTGTCTGCCTTGTGGGACTTAAAACGTGAGGTTGACAGCATTTTCTTACAACTTTTTCTGATTCCAACTCCCCAACTGAACCCAATCCTAAAACCCTTTGTGCAAACTTTTCATCTTGTATGACTACTTCCCAAATAAATAGTTTTGTATGTGAAAGTGAAACTTGTAGGCTTGACCACAAATTTAGTAAGACCTGTGAGTTTTTTAGAGATAAGCAGCTAAACTGTAACATTATTATGTTGGCTTCAACTTATTTATAGCAGGTAGTGGAACAGTACTTTGCAGTGCTTGCTTGTCTTTGCAGGAGCTTTCTGTTTGAGCATGTTTATTTATGGGTGTGACACATAATAATCTAATAAAAACCTAGAATGCAAGGGACGGCCTATATTGATGCATAGCTTTTAGCTCATATTAAATGTATATTCTGATCCTTGATGAAGCTATATATTTTTGTTGTGCTGTATCTAAGAAAAGAACAAGCACAAAATTTGATTCTGATGGCTCTGATTTGCCAGATAAAGTTCTAGAAGAATAATAGTCAACTCCAGCTCTTGAATGGTTTCTTAAATTGAGAAAGGCATTCAAATATGTTTTGTAGAAATTTTGTTCTTTTATAATGCTAGCTTAGATTTTGTTCTTTCTTATATGTTTTAGATTCTGTATTTGTTTCTCATTATAAACTTAATTTTGTTGACTCAAATGCAATGGGGTATAAACTTTTGGAGTATCTTACTGGCCATTAAATGCTTTAAAGCTCCATGGATATGTTTCTGGTATTCATTTTGCTTTTGGACACTTCTGCACATACAAACTGAAATGAAAAAAAAAAAATGCATGTCTCTTCTTGCATTCTTGATGTATTTTGGGCCTCAAACTATTTCCAACAATATTAAATGTATTGCGTAATAAATGCTTACTTCCAACAATATTAAATGTATTGTGTATTAAATGCTTACTTGTTTGTCCTGGATTGATGTAGTTCATAAAGAATGAAGATCTTGAAGAGTTGATGGAACTGGGTTCTGGTACATTTGGGACTGTATATCATGGAAAGTGGAGGGGATCAGATGTTGCTGTCAAGAGAATAAAAAAAAGCTGCTTCACAGGTCGATCATCTGAGCAAGAAAGATTGGTAATTTGCCCTCCTCACACATTAATATTTCTTATACATGTGATGTGATACATTTTCTGCATATTCTTTCATGAAACCATTGGACAAAAGCCTGTTGATCTTAAAAAGAAGTTAACAAACTAGAACTATTACCAATTTTTCTTTATCTCTTTTTTTTTTTTTTTTGAAAAGGGGGGGAGGGGGTCCAAATAGAAGTGCAATAATTTCATTTCTTTATTATTATTTAATTGTTTTTTTTATCTCAGCTAGTTATTGCCACTATTGTTCTCTCCAAGTCTGGTATTATTTTCATACTTAGTACCATTCTAAAAGGTTTATACTTACATTCTCAGACCATTGAATTCTGGCGGGAAGCTGACATTCTTTCAAAGCTTCACCATCCAAATGTGGTGGCATTTTATGGTGTGGTCCAAGATGGTCCAGGGGGAACGTTGGCTACTGTTACAGAGTACATGGTTGATGGTTCCCTTAGGCATGTTTTACTTCGCAAGGATAGGTAAATTCTCTTTTCATATTGTTACTGGGTAATAGTTTGCAATCCTACCTGTTTTACATGGTGTCTTTTATATTAATTATTGAAACCAACAGAGCGGATGTTCAGATATTATTCAAAAATGTAGTATCACCTTGGTGGGGTTTGGGGGGGGGGGGGGGGGGCAATGTATTTCTGAAATTTTCTCAAATGCTTGTCATTACTTCATGAATGCCTCCCGATTACTTTTCTGCCTAATCTAAATTTGCAGGTATCTTGACCGTCGTAAGAAGCTCATAATTGCTATGGATGCAGCATTTGGAATGGAATATTTGCATTCAAAAAATATTGTGCATTTTGATCTGAAATGTGACAACTTGCTTGTTAACTTGAAGGATCCTTCTCGACCAATTTGCAAGGTAACCTCCGGGGTCATCCATCCTGTGCAAATTTAGTGTGGTTAAAATTTGGTGCTAATTAAAACATTTCTAAGATATTCTCTCTTTCCTAGGTTGGTGATTTTGGACTGTCTAAAATCAAACGTAATACATTAGTTTCTGGCGGTGTTCGGGGGACCCTACCATGGATGGCCCCAGAGCTCCTGAATGGGAGCAGCAATAAGGTTTCAGAAAAGGTAAGATGTCATTCATTAAATTTCCTTGAAGTGGCATGATAAGCTATTTGCTTTTCCTGAGTCTTCCCTTGGATCCTCTGGAAGATTTTACCTAGTTAATGCAATCTTAATAAATGGTCCTTAAAGCTCAATGGAGAGAAGTCTGACTTTATCTTATTATTTTCTATTATTTCGTTAAGAAACCATTGCTCTGATCAGTATATTCTGAATTGCTGCCATTGCATTAAGTAAGAGCAGCTACTAATGGAAAATTAGGATAATAATAGTGAAAATGGCTGCTACTGCTTAATAATGGCCCGTATAGTGGATCATAAGAGGGCAGTTTGTGCTGATTTTTGCAAATTACAGGAGAGCATTTTACTAAAGATGTATTTTTGCAAAATGTTTGTCCACATCTTTATATTCATCAAGTTGGTTTGAGCATAAGATGGAGAATCTAGATATCATTTCAAAATAACATTTAACCAATGTAATGGCTTCAGATTTACATTGTTGTTACTTATTCTGCCTAGTGAACATAATGTCCCTTTTGAGTACTCTTTATTTACATTTCTTTGTTGATCTGCAGGTTGATGTGTTCTCCTTTGGTATTGTTCTATGGGAGATTCTCACTGGGGAAGAGCCTTATGGCAATATGCATTATGGTGCAATCATAGGTGTGACTTGAGTGCTTTTTCTTGTACCTTTTATGGTTGTGCTTGTATCAAAAGATTTTCTCACCAGTTATAGAGCCAAATGAGAAACTAACACTGTCATAGGATCGTAATTTGGAGTAACAGGCTATTTTTTTTCCATCCATTGGGCTGAAAATTTTGTTTTAGAGCCAAAATCTGATACTAATAGTAGTTTGGCACTTTTGATTGACCCACTTGCAAAAACTTTTAAGGCTAGTCTGTTTTATTGACCATGAGGCATTGAGACCTGTTAAATGGCATCTGATTTTTAGGCTTAATACCATGGAAAGTATCTGTCCTATGCTGATTCCTAACCTGGATATGCTGGATATCTGGCATTTATCCTTTGTCATGCCAAATGCCAGACAAAATGTGTATGCTTGGTGGTGCAATACCATGAACATCTTGCATCATTTGATACCTATGCAAGAATTTAATAAGTTATTGTACATACACAAGTACATATACATGCATACTTCTGTATGTATAAACATTTATACATGTACATCATACATATGATGCGCATGCATGTGTATTACTTGGTCATGCCTATGGTCGGAGGTGACAAACATTTTTAACCAGACTTGATTGGCAATGACGCATGTCTGACCAGCCTATAGGATCATTGACTCGATTATTTTCTCTAATATTATCTTTATCAGAGTGAAAGTGTCAAAGCTGACCAAACTTGAGTGACTTTACTCAATCATTTTGAAAGGCTGAAACACGCCAACTTCCATTGGCTTAAGAACTCAATTACCTGAAATCAAACCTCATCTGATCCATTCAGTCGTGACCTCTGCGATATATGTTAAATATTTAAATCTTATAGCTTCTAAAAGATAGAGCTTATGAGGTATTTAAATTATTTCCTTTAACTGATGTATTCCTTGCATACCGTTAAAACAAAATTTATTAGACTTCTTAGGACTGATTAGCTTTTAATTTTGGGATATAGTCGAGCATGTGAAGTTGATTGATTGTGGAAAGCGTACTTGTGTGCATCTTCATGTAATTAACCCCTTGATCAGCATTTCTTTGTTTAAGTACTTGGTGACAATCCTTGTCTTTACATTTTAGTAATATTCCTTTCCTGCCTTCTGTTGGCTGGGACTGGTGCATTTGCAATTTCACAGTGCTAATGCCAAACTCTTTTTAAAATTTCTGTTAATCTTTTTATAGATTGCTGCCATATCCTTTTCTCATGTATGCATTGCGTTGTTCTTTTATATTATTTATAAAGTCATCTGCTTTAACAGTCAGATTTTAGCCATTCTTTTTTCATATGCTTGTTTGGAGCCCCAAAATCAACCTCAGATGGTTTTGCTGATATCCTAAGATATGATGGAAGTCGTGAAAATAATTTAGTACTCCATTTGCTTATCACAAGTTTGAGAACAAGGGCCAGAGACTGTTCTTGGATAGATCTTAACCTCCATTAATTTCCAATTGAACATAGGTCTGCCTCTAAGATGGTTAGATGCAATTTCCTGCTTTGGCATTTTTTGTTCCCTGTTTGTGATGCATACATTTATCTTCCTAGGTTTTAGACATTCTTTTTCTCTTCACAATCTAAAAGTTGTAGATTAATCTAACTATATTTGTTGCCATACAGGAGGAATTGTAAGTAACACACTGAGACCGACAATTCCAAGCTTCTGTGATTCTGAATGGAGAAAATTAATGGAACAGTGTTGGGCACCCAATCCTGCAGCAAGGCCATCATTCACAGAGATTGCCAGTCGATTGCGTACAATGTCAGCAGCTGCTAGCCAAAGCAAGGTTCATGCTTACAAGGCATCAAAATAATAGCGATTTCTGAAAGGGATAGTCTTTTCCATGATATATCAAAGGATAGTTTTATTTCAATTGTTCACACATTTAGTATTGATTATAATTACTTGAAAGGAGAATTGGCTTCCTAATTGTTTTTGAAATGGAAGGCTTCTCTTAAAAGAATCCAGAAAAACCTTCTTCCCATCCCATTAAATGTATTGAACAAAAATTGTGATTTATTGTCATGTTGCACTTAAAAAACTGATCTTTTGCCTTTTGCACTTTGTTGACAATGGCTGTGCATCTTCTGAACAATTGCTACCATTTTTATTTTTTCTGTTGTATGTTGAGATGGAGTTTGGCTTTTCTACGAGTTGATTGTAGAAGGTTTGCTGAAGCTCCACAGGCTTATTTTGCAAGTGTAAGCATCAGCCATCAGGGCATTGGGAACTTGAAAATATGCCATTTATTGTTCGGCGGCAGATGTCGTGCATAAAATTGATATATGATTCGGCAGACTTGAAAACTTTGCATTTATTCCATTTTTTTATTCCTTTCTAGCTGGATAAACCTTGAAGACCCATATTCAAGTTCAGGGATCATATGGTAGGAGTAATTATTTTGCAGTGCTCTTGCTTAAGAAAATGCTAACCGTTTTGCTTCTTGAAATAATGTGATGTTGTGAGAAAGATTCTGACATTTGGAAGTATAAGAATCTGCAATAGCCAGCCAAAGAGTTTTTGTAAGACTAACAGGTAATCAATCTGGAAATCAGGAAATTTCTAGCGCCATTGGGCATCTATTGTGATTGTCCCTAACAGCATAATTTATGATATTATTTTCTAAAACTAGTTTAAGAAATGTCAATGCCTAACCAATAATATAAATAAATGCCTTTAGATACCAGCTAGGAGGATGAAGCATTGTGCAATTGCCAAGCTGATGCCAGCATTATAGGCCTCCCTTTCCATCCAAGGAGGAGGAAGCCCCTCTCACTGGCAAGAGTGTAACCATCACAGCCATAAACAGAAAGCATCATCCTTGCTTGACTCAAACACTTCAACCCCATTACTTGAAACCCAGCTCTGCCTAGTTGTCTTCTCCATTGATCTGCTCTTTCATGCCTTTCAGTTCTATCTGACCCTTCATATGCTACAATGTTTCTAATTTCTTCTGCAAAGTGAAGCCTCTCTATCTTCGTCCTTTGAGGACTATTTCTGGGTAGACTGGCCTCGAGGGAATCAAAAATGGCTGAATAGTAGTGAAGAGATTCAAGGAACCTCCCAAGAAAGAATGGTCCATTGTGGTTTGCATCTTGTTCCACCATTGTAAGCAAAGCTGGACCTAGTTTCCTGATTGCTTGGAGGATTGCTTTGAGAGATCCTCTACTCTCTTTCACATATTTGTGCAAGTGCATAACACTATTGATGAATAATGCTTCCCTTTCTCTTAAGTTGAGATTCTCTCTGGTCAAAAGAGATGGTGTAACTGTCTCTGCTATCATGTGGAACTCCAGTGCTATGCCAAGGGAGAGAGCATCCTGGACGAGGGACTTCATGCCAGCTTCAAGCTCTAACAGATCTTGATCACTGGTTAATGCTGTGATTCGGAGAGTTGGGGGACCTTCAGGCCTTGATGCTAGAGTTCTTATCAGGGATGGCCATTGAAGGGTATGTTCCATTCCTAGATCAATGATGTGCAATGAATCCTTCCCTTGTGCTGCTTGACATATAGCCTCATTTGCAGCCATGAAACCAAATGCAATGTAAGGAGTTGCTTGGTAAAGTAGTTGAAAAGCCTCCATTTTCTCCTCCCTAGCTATCAATGGCGCATCAAATGCACAGTTTGCGATTGTGCCATTTCCATTGACATTTTGAAGAAGTGATAGTCTAGACTTCAATCCTGTCGCAAAGCAATACGAAACCCTTTGCAGTGAATCACCCCACGGAGTAGCCGAAGCCCAAATTTGGCCGAGCATAGAGGTTGCAAGCTGTATGTCACGGCAGCCTACCGCCTCAGCGCATGCCAGTAACAAATGCACCAAGTGGAGCCCTTGGTCTACGCCATGGCTCGCCTCCTCTACACTAGGCACCATTTCATGTACTCCAAAATCTTCACATGAGCCACACATCTCCAATTCATCTCCTTCAATCATCATCGATGCATCTCCAAAATCATCATTTACCACCGAAAATGCTTCGATTTCATCCTGAAGATGGAAAATTTGCTGCTTCCTGGAGTTATGATCATCTTTATCATCACCATCATCATCCATGTTAATGAAACTATCAACAAAGTCATCTACCTCCGAAGCAGCCAAGTGGGGTGTGCTAGTTCCATCATCTGGAGAAAATGATTCAACCTCATAATTCATTGCCTCCTCCAACTCTACTTGCTCTAGCTCAACTCTTGCCGGGCAAAACCTTCTGATGGCGAAATCATGGTTGAAGCTTTCATATAAGGGGAAGGACAACCAACCATTGATGCCTTCCATTCCTTTTTAGAGGTATTAAGAGGTAAGAGGAAATGGAAATGAGAAAAAGCAGTGACCTAAAGCCCAGACTCTTAATGTCATATATATATATATATTTTTTTTTTTTTCTTCAATTTTTTTGAGCACATATGTTTGGAAATGAGGGATTAAAATTTGATTGTATAATAAACAATTGTTTGAAGAATAACGACAAGTTTCTCACAATGGTTTGTGATGTATTTTTATAATCCACATTCTTTGTTCATAGTGATTTCGCCTAATAATATATCAAATTGCCTAATTTTAAAGTATGAAAATGCAAATTGTATGAAGCAGGGAAAGTCTTAATTTGATATTTATGATATAAGACACGAGGTAACACATTTAGTTGGAAGCACAACCACCATCATTTCATGCTCAAAAAGGTTAAATCCTATGCACTCCGACTCACAATAACATAATGTTAATTTCTTGAGGGGTGGCAGTGAACCTTTTTTCTACTCATATCAATCATAGAGGGCAATATTAAGGGAGTGTAACAACAATACAAAACCTCAACCAAAAATAGGAAAAAGAAAAAAAAAAAAAGCTTAATTTCTACATATCCATTATGTCAAAAAAGAAAAAAAAAACTTAATTTCTACATATCCATTATGTTAAAAAAGAAAAAAAAAAGTTTAATTTCTACACATCCATTATGTTAAGGTACTAATTTTTTATTAATTATCTTTTTACTGCACAATGATGGACGTTAGTTTGAAAAAGAAAATGCCATCTATGAATTTAATTGGAAAAAAGTTCAAATCTTCTACAATCAGTCCTAAGATATAGGTTGAATCATTTTTCGATGTGTTATCCATATTTTTTTTCTCATAAATATAAAAGTTTAAATTAAGTTTTAATTGATATTTTTGTTATTTATTTTGCGAAAAAAAAAATTAATAAGAAAAAAAATAACAAAAGCAAATAAAAAATATCGATCAAACCTTTAAATATTTGGAAGACGTGTATATATATAAATTTTAAAATCTTCAAAAAAAAAAATTTGTTTGAAGTTCATTGTTCATATATGTAGAAAAAATATTTAATTTTTGTTTTTATTAAATAAAAAGAAACTATAAATTAAAGAATCAAATGGAATTTGGTGGAGGATGAATGAAAGGGACATGGGTGGGGATGATAACAAGCATTGAATTTTGTTGTTTACAATTAACAATATGAAAATAAAAAAAAAAAATGGTTTAGAGCAATTTGCCGACCAAATTGGGACGATTACTTCAACAAATGTAGGTCCCACCTTTTTCTAATTAACTTGATGTTGTTGTAATTTTTTTGGTCGGCCAACAAGCAATGAGACATTCGAGGTGGCCAGCTATGACAATGTATAGCAAATACATAGAATTTTAAAAATTAAAAATAAAAAAATTTATGCTTCAGATCTCTCTTTATTTTTAATTTTTAATAAAAGTTTATTTTTTTTATCAAATCACTAATTTGTGTAAATGGGATTCATCATTAAAATCTTTTTATATTTTTTTTGGTATGTAATGGTTGAGTTTCAAAATTTTCCTATTTGAATAAGTCAACATGAGTTTTTTTTTTTTCTTAAAAAAAATGAAGGGGTCATAAAAAAGATTTGATTTGATTAAAATACTAAATATCTTTTAAAAAATAAATTTAAATAATTTTTTATTATATTCAATAAGATTTTTAAAATATTATTTTTGTAAATAATAATATCATTTCTAACACTTATGTGGTGGTAAAAAAACACTATGTAGATGTTAATCTACATGTCATACAAGTCACTATTTCATATCGTGTTATTATTGATTCAACATAAATTTTGTCATGCCCCCAAAATTTTGATATAATAGATGTCGTACACTTGAAAAATATAATTTTATAAATATAGAAAACATTAATTATATAAAATTTAATTGAATTCAAAATGCTTAAATTTAACAAGTACAAAATTTTAATTATTTATTAAAATTCAATCAATCATGTACTTGAAAACAAGATTTTGAAATAAATCATATTATATATATAACTCAAATATTTTGTAATAAATATCAAATTTTTTTTACATAAATTATAATTTTATATATGAAATACAATAAACTTTTGATTGTTTAACATTTATTTGGATTATTGATTATTGATTTTCTTATATTCATTTTTTTAAAATCAGTATTTTTAAAATATGAAAGATCATATGTTTTGTTACATTTATATTTTTTTACTTTTAATTTTTTGTGACTTATGATCTTCTATCTCTTTTAAAGGAAAGAGTTATACGAGTGTCTTTCATGTCTCTATTATAATTTTTTTTTCAATTGTTATTTGTCATATTACTTTAATTATTGATTTTTGATTTTTTTTTGTATTCATTTTATTTAAAACTATTATTTGTTAAAATTTATTGATCAAACCTTTGATTTTGTAATATTTATATTTTTGGCTTTTGATTTTCTTATAATTTATGGTTTTTTTTTAATCTTTTTAAAGGATGAGAGTTATACTAGTTTCTTTCATGTCTCTTTCACACTTTTTTCTCCAATTCTTAATTGATTTTTTACTTTTTTGTATTTATTTTCTTTAAAACCATTATCTGTTAAAATTTATTGATCAAAATTTTAATTTCGTAACATTTATATTTTTAATTTTTTATTTTCTTGTGACTTGCAGCTTTCCAACTCTTTTAAGGAGGAGAGGTTATATGAGTATCTTTTATATCTCTATTACACTTTCTTCTTTCAATTTTTATTTGTCATATTACTAATTACGAGGTTTTATTTTTTTTATATTTTTCGTTTTGATAATTTTATAATTTTTTAATCATGCTCTATGATTTTTTTTTCATTTCATGTTTGTTTATTAGTCAATTGATAGAAATTTTTAGTATTTTTATTTTTCTTATGATTTTTTACTTTTTTACCATGATCTTTTTTTTTTTACCATTTAAGCTTAACTATCAACCATTAATAATCATGAGGTTTGTTTATTATTATGTTTTTATTTTTATAAATTTATAATATTGATTTATGAACTTTCATTTTTTAATTTCAAATTTGTTTCTTTACCAATTGGTGTATTTTTTTTATTATTTGTATTTTTATGATTTTCCTTTTTTAAACTATGTTTCTTTTTTTTTTTTGTAGTTTAAACTTGGTTATTAAAAAATTAGAATATACCATGGTTAATGATAATCTTTTAAAAATATGATTGGATGATCAAAATTTATGTTTATTGATTGTGAGATATTTATAAATTTAAGACTAAACATATTAGTACAAAAATTATATTGATTGATAAAAAAGTATATATGTTTTTTTTTCTCTGTTTTTGTCATGTTACTATCTTAACTCTAATTTATTTTATTATTTTTCAGTTAAATCGTAGGCAGGTCTTTTTAACATAAATAAATCTATATATCATAATTTTATTACATAAAACACAATAAACTTTTGATTATCTAATATTTATTTGGATTATTGAGTTTTGATTTTCTTATATTCTTTTTTTTAAAACCATTATTTTAAAAGTGTCTTGATCAACCCTTTAGTTTTGTTACATTTATATTTTTTATTTTTGATTTTCTTATGACTTACAATCTTTTATCTCTTTTAAAGGTGAGAGTTATGTGAGTATCTTTCATGTCTCTATTACAATTTTTTCTTTCAATTATTATTTTTCAAATAAGATATTAATTGGATTTAATGACAAATGTAAATGGAAAATGAACCAAGTTTTTAATTGAATAGATTTAAAAATATTTAATTCTAAATTGAACCAAGTTAAAAATGATATTTTTAATTGAGCATTTAATCTAAATATTAAAAAAATATTTTTTATTAGTTATTTAAATTTAAATATAATATATGTGTTATATTAATAAATTATTATTTAATACTTTAACTTAATATATTAATTTAATAAAAATATTATATTTATATATAATTAAAATATAATTTATATTAAAAATAATATTTTGTGAAAAAATTATATTAAATTAAAATTACTAAATTAATTTTAAATAGAGTTAAGTCGGTTATAAATTATGAATATACAAATTAAATTAAATCAAATTAAAAATAATATTTTAATATAATATCAAATAAAAAAAAAAAAATCTGCTAGACCATTGTCAACCTTACTAATGGATTGTATGGCTTTCCCAAACTTAATTCTTCTCATTACTTGAATAAAATTTTTCAAGCACAAGTTTGGCTTGAATATTATTAAATTAATTTAAAATATTTTATTTAAATTTAATTGTAAAATATGCATAAAAATATTTGTAATATATAAATTTTTTAACCTTTTTCATTATAATGGATTTAATTGTGAAGCTGGACCAAATTTGAAAAAGGTAAAGGGCAAAAGCAACCAAGTGATGAGGGATGAGTTGTCAGTTTCTATTGGCTTCCAAATTCAATAAATTTTCCTTATTTCATGCGTATTTTAATAATAGAGTCAAACTGAGTCGTACTTCCATTTAATATTGGACACGTGGAATGAGAAAAATACTGCCCAGAGTCGGGATTCTCACTCATCGAAACGTATCCTTCAACGTCTCTTTCAAAATTCAAACACTTTTTCTCTTGTTTATTTCTTTCGTTTATTTACAGTTGAAACCTCTCACTGTCCCTCCCTTCTTGTACTCTCTCTCTTGGTTTTTTTTTTTCTTTTGGTTTCTGAGAAGATTCAGCTGCAAGAGGGAAGATGATTTACAGGTAAATTTTAGTAACTGTTAATTTTTTTTTTTTCGTTTTCTGATTTTACTGCTCTCTTGTTTGGTTGGTGGGAAAGAACCAAATAGAAAAAAAAAAAAATCTTTTTTGGGCTTTTGTATTGGTTTGGGTTTGTTTTGACCAATAATCCTAAGCTAAAACAATAAAAAAAAGTTCAAAACTTCAGTAATTATTGTTCTAAAGACGGTTTTTTTTTTCTTGAAAAAAGAAGTTTGTTATCAGTTGTTAGTTAATAAGCAGAGCAGCTGGGGTTATAGTTTGAGTCAGAAGTTTAGTTACTTGTGATGGCATGCATGGTTTTCTTTCTAAAAATTCAGCGTAATTTAGCCATGAAAAAAAAAAAAGTGTGGGGCTTTTATTATTTGTTTTAATTTCTCTGCTATGAATTAAAATTGCATTAGGCTGCTGATGCATTTCAATTGCTGAGTTTAAAAGTATTCAGCTTTAAGGTTAATGAATAATTTGTATTTTAGGATCTTGTTAAAGTAATTTAATTCTCAATTATGAGTGCAGGTTGGAATGAGCAAGTGATTTTCAAGTCCTTGATTATATTTTCTTTTCAAATTTTAAACAGTAATGAAATGAAATTGTTTGGTTTTTTTGAGAATCGAAAATTATTTTTAGTCAAAGTGAATTCCAAAGTTGGTTAATCATATCTTAATTGCTGTCTTTCTTTGTTGTTTGCCTATTGAAAAGGAAAAGGGGAGGTGTGAGGATGAAAAGAAATTGAGGAAAAAAAATATGAAAATGATATCTTTTTTAGCTATAATAAATTCTTCAGATGTAGATATTCAAGTGGTTTGGTTCCTCAAACTGAAAATGTTGTTGAATTTTCCACTTTAGATATACTTGCATACACTCAAGGATGCAAATACTTGTATTATCACAAGGATTTGATGAATTTCTTTTTTGCCTGTATTGTGTTAGAGCTAAAGTCAGTAATAGTCACTTACTAGCGGAAAAATAACATGATAACCACTTTAAACAATTTAATGTGCCTTTTTCTCTTAAGATTACGGTAGAAACACTTGTGATTGTGAATGAATTAGCTAAATAGTCTACATAAAACACTCAAGTAAAAGGAGAATAGGTTTATGGTTTTTTCAAATATGCTAATAATGTATCTGTTCCAATGTTTTAAATAGAAAGACTTTAGTATCAGTAACAACCACCTAAGCAGCTCAGATTAATTCTTCTTCTGAGCCACCCTATCCAGTTGGTTTTGTATGCCTATGTGTTATGTCAAAGCTAATTTTTGAACTAAATAAAAGAAAAGGCATTGCAGGGTTGAGGGGAGGAGGAGCTCCTTGTTGGTTAAACACAGATACCATTGAAGTTCAACTTATCCCAATATGCTTTAAGTTACTCCTGTTCAGTAGTTCCTGCCCCCTTCAAAGTTTCATTTATTTTGATAGGATTGAGGCTTGAAAGATAGTGAGGGAAAACATTAATATATGCATCTGCAGCGAGTCGGTCTGTCTATTTTATCATGAATGATGTATCAACTTAGGGATTTTTAGTCTTGTTTTTCATTTGATATTAATGCCCTATAAAATTTATTGTAGATTTTGAGATTCTTATGCCCTTGGGTATCATCAAGGAGCAATGCTTCTTGTTGTCGTAGTGGTAAAACCATAAAAGAGATACAATTCGTGCTGTTCTTCTTCCAAGTTGTTTACTTACTGTTTGTGTATTTTTTGTATAGAATCCTGAAAATGGTGGTCTGAAGAATATATGTTAGAAACATTACACTTTTATCTGCTTGATATGTACTTTGTTGTCTTTATTTGTAATAGCACAGGGTAGTGAGAAGATAGAACAAGGGCAAAGGGATCTTCTGTAAAATTACCATGGATCAATCAGAACAAACACAACAGCAGCAGCAGCAACGGCAACAGCCTGTTATGGGCGTTTTACCTGGTGCTGGGCAGATGGGCTATTCTACTGGTCCTTACCAAAATACTCCGATGGTTGGTTCTGGCACACCAGCAGTAATGGTCCGCTCACCAACTCAGCCTCCGACTACTTTCTCTGGTTCTACACACCAATTTGCCTACCAACAAGCTCAGCACTTCCATCACCAACAACAGCAGCAACAACAGCAGCTTCAAATTTTCTGGGCCAACCAAATGCAAGAAATTGGGCGAACAGAAGACTTCAGGAATCACAGTCTCCCACTTGCCCGGGTCAAAAAGATAATGAAAGCGGATAAAGATGTGCGGATGATATCAGCAGAGGCTCCTGTTATTTTTGCAAAAGCTTGTGAATTGTTCATCTTGGAACTGACTTTACGCTCTTGGATCCATACAGAAGAGAACAAAAGGAGGACACTACAGAAGAATGATATTGCAGCTGCCATTTCAAGGACTGATGTCTTTGATTTCTTAGTTGATATTATCCCTAGGGATGAGTTGAAAGAGGAGGGACTTGGGGTCACCAAGGCCACTATTCCATTAGTTGGTCCACCTGCTGATATTCCATATTACTATGTTCCACAGCATCCTGTGGGGCCCACTGGGATAATGGGAAAGCCAATTGATCAAGCTGCATTGTATACAGGCCAGCAGCCTCGACCACCCATGGCAATCGTGCCGTGGCCCCGCGATCAGCCACAGCAGCAGCAATCTCAACAGCAGCAAAGTGAGTCTTGACTGAGAAGGGGAGGAGCGCCAATACATTGTAGTTGGTTTGTTGCAGTACATTTCTTATAGTCAGAAATTAAATCTAGCACTGGTTTATCTGTAGTTAGGTTGTAATCGTAGGTTAGGCAGAAGCTGTAACATTGAAAGTGGAAGATGACAGTTTCAATGAATGACGTCTTTAAGGTGGATTGGATTTGGGTTTGGCGTTTGGTTTATGATTTTTGTTGCTCGGGGTGCTTCTTCCAAGCATTTTTGCTTGAAATATTACATTATTAGGTTGATTGAGTATAGCTTCTTTTTTTATAATCAACAGAGCACATGATTGTTGGGGAGTGAGTATAGCTTCAAAGCTTCAAAAGAGATTTAGAAGGCATTTGTAAGTTGTAATTGACAAGAGATGGCGCCATACTTTCCTCAAGGCATTTGTAAGTTCTAAGTTTTCATCCTTTTCTTGTAGGGTTTTTAAGTTTTGAAGAAAAACTGCGTACAATGTCAAGAAATTTTGGAAATTTATAAAAATAATATTATAAATTTATAACATCTATGAGGAAGAAAGTATTCACTGCCAATAAATTTTTTGCAATTTAAAAAAAAGTTATAAATTTATAACATCTATAACATTATAAGATAAAAGTTGAGTGGGAATCGGTAATGAGATACTTGAATTAATAAACTGGTGTTGGCAAAAAAAAAAAAAAAAAAACTGTTAAACATGGTACCTCGTTAACACTGTTACTAAAAAGATAATGAGGTAATTTTCATGTAATATACAAATAGGTTAATATTCATGGATTGGATTCCTACTAACATTTCTAAAGATTTGTTCAAAGTTCGATTCAATTATGATTGTTTAGATTCTTTAATTTAAATTTATTTTCAAAATATGAAAAAAAATTATACTAATATTTAATATTTAAAAAATATTTAAAATTAAAAGTAAATTAAAATAATATTTTAATATTAAAATATTTTCACGGATCCAATCGGCTAGAAAATTCTTGATCAAGATCTAACACAAGTTGTGCCACGCCTTTGTGGACAAGCTCACATACTAGGTGTGAAGCAGTGCATGAAATAGAATTTTGACTCATCAAAATAGAGGTGTACGATATTAATTCAAAAAATTTGAGTGATAATTATCCCATCAATGTAAAAAGAAAAAAAATATGGTTTTTTATAAATATATAAATAAAATAACATTTTAAACTTAAAATTTTGTGTTATTGATAAAACGGCATGTGCTGTGCTGACTTAAAATTTTTTTTGTGAATAAAAAATTAATGATGACATGAAATTTTTTCTATGTTTCATAAATTAATTTCATGTGACTAATCACGCAAGTATAATTTTTTTAAAATAACACTTTCTTTTTTGATCAGACATCTGCTCTGCCAGATGGAACGTTTACCTCTGTACAAAAAATCTACTCGACTACCACTCGACTAACACTGAGCTATATACCATAAACCAAGGTTACCTGGTTTGGAAAGAAAGATGATATATAAAAGAACGAAAAAAGTTCGATAAAAATTTAAAATAGAGAAATGGAGGGACATATATAATATAATATGGGTCTAATGCTCAGAAAGGCTGTTGAAGAAATGGAGAAAACCACAGCACATATGCAAGGTTGTGGCAATATGGAACAAAAGATGTCTATAGTGGAGGCAGAAGGTAAGTTGAAGGAGACAGAAGGTTACTAGACAGAGGCTAATGAAAGAGAGTAATGGAGGGTGAGGCTAGAATTAAAAGGAGATTTACTGAGTTCTACACGTCTCTTTATAAATCTAGTGGAAGCAAGCAGGGAGATGCACAAATTGTAGATGATAATATTCTGAAGCCAGTAAGATAGCAACACTGGCAGATTGTTCTTGTTCATAGAGGTTTCAAAAGGCAGAGGGAAAGTTTCCTGTATACCAAGCTATCCTTGATTAAACACACATCAAATTTAGCTATAGATTGGGTGGCAAAATATGCAAGATTGGGGATGAGCATGGTTAATTGTGTGAATAAGCTCTCATCCTTTCATTTGCTTATTCTGGATAAGGATGGGCTTCCTGCCCCACCATGTGTCATGGTGTTTTTGTATTTCTTCGAGTTAGCTGATTGGTTTCTGTGATTAGTTTTGTTCAATTCTTGTTTGGTCTTGTAACAATCTCTTTGTGAAATGAGATTCACTGTTTCTTTGGCCGAAAAGAATAAGTGATACACCAACCAAGAAAAAGAAAATCTACCGATTACCAAACTTTTATGATCATAAGCCACTGTGACATAAAGTTAATTTCTAATGAATTGTTGCATTCCTCAAATCATAAGTATGCAGCTAAAAGTTCAGCAAACATGCTGCAAGAAGCTAAGGGAAGGAAAGCTATAGGTCTAAAGGCTAAAGTGTCATAAATACCAAGGTAAAGCATCAATAACCATTAGAGTAAATTGCTATCGCCAAATTTGATCATAATGGCAATGCTAAACAAGATAAACATAGCGACTACAAAAAACGTTTTGGGATATTTAGTCTCAATCATAGAACCCTAGAAGCAAGTATAGACATGTTTTGTAATCAAAATGCAAAGTTGGGCCTTAATCAGCTAAACACCTGACATTAACTCTGCATTGTTTGCCTCTTACTCTTTAAGAAAAACGCTTATAATGGCCTCACCCAATCAAGCAATTAATAATAAGGAAAAGATGGATTAAAAACATAGCATTAACATATAAAGGTGATAAACCCTAAGTCAAGTAATATACCATTGTTAGGATTTTAATCCCAAACCACGCATATTTTATAAAAATGGAAAAATAAAAAGAGAAATTACTAATAAATGAACCTTGTAAAACAGTAACCCGATCATCAATCATCGTCAGGATCGACACCTTCGAACGCCCATTCATTCTGTGCCCTAACCGCTGCCTCTTCCTCCGGCGTATAATCGTTCTCGATTCCGAAAAACCTCCTCACAAACTCCACACTCTTATTTTTAATCCTATCAGCCACGGCTTGATTCAACATATCAAGAAGATCCTTGATATTCAGATAGTTAGCGGCCAAAATCATCTCCTTCAGCGACTCATTGTCTTGGGCCTTGACAAACTCTTCATCGTAGGCCTTGGTTTCGTCCTCGACGGATGAGGAGCTGCCGCGGGCACGGAAGGCTAAATGGGATTTGCAGTATTCTATGATGGTTGAGAGGCATTTGGACGAGACGTTGGGGAGTGGAATGGGTGCTTCGGTGGCGTCAGGGTTTTCGTCGAAGAACGTCTTGACAGCGACGAACTCCATGGCAATGGCTTCATCCACTTCGAATTCGTGATTGTCGGCTGTCCGAAGGGTGATTTTCTTCGTCTTGGCGATGGCCGTTGACATTTTGAAGAAAAAAAAAAAAGAGAGTATTAGGGTTACGGATTGGGATTTTGGAGACTTCGAGAAGAAAACTTTTGATTCTTTGATTTCGATCCGGTGGGGAAGACTAAGAGGTGACGGGTATTTATAGTGGTCAATTTGTTTACGTCGTTTGGGGAAAATAAATAAATAAATAAATAAATAATTGGTACTAATTTGGTTTTGTTTAGAATTTCTATTCCAATTTAAGGTTTTATTTTATTATTCAGAAGCACAAAAACTTTATATTGTATTATTATTCTTCAAAAAAAAAAGCGCTAAAATGATGCATTTAGAAACGCGGTCCACGTAATTAATATATATTTTTGGCCTTTCAATTTTTGATTACGTAAAAAAAAGTCCTTAAATTTTTTTTTCTTTTATTTTTATTATCATATCATAAAATAATAAATAAATTTTATAATTTTTTATAATTAATGAGTTAATTAAAAATAAATAACTACATAAAAATAAAAATATTATTTGATATATCACTATTATTTTTATTAATTTTTTAATATTTATTAATAAAATTATTATTTGACATAAAATAATTTAATAATTTTTAATTATTTATTAATATTATAAATATTATATAATTTTAAAATTTTAATACTTATAATTTTTAATGATATCTTTTTCTTATTACAATTAATTTTGTTGTACATTGTTGTTTTTGCATTTAAATATATCCTATCGATAATCTTAATCATACCACTAATTAATTTTATTAATTGAAAAAGATTAAATACATAATAGGTATGATTCTGTTTACATTACTTTCACACCATAACACACCATAACGTAAATTTGATAATTTAAAATATGATATAAAAACATGATATGAATATGGTATAAAAAATGAATATGAACGTGATACAATTTAAAATTTTAGTAATACCTATATACGAATTTAAAATCAAAAAATATATTTTATATTTTCGTATCAATATAAATTATAATACTTAATTTTTATGTAAAATATAATATAAATACACAAATTTTAATATTTTACATGATATAAATATATAAATTACTGAATTTATAATAATGCTTAATCCTATATATTGTTGTTGAAAAAGTAGAAAGTGGCAGAAATGATTAAAAATTTTTAAGTGTTTGGTATTTGTAATGAAAAATACTATAATAAATAAAAATGTCCAAATATGCATAGAATAATAAAAGCTAAAGCTACAATATGAAGCTTGAGTTGGAAAGATTTGTTATAACTTCAATGGATAGACTTGTTTTTGTTCAAAAGTGAAAATAAAAAACTTTATTGAACTCAAGTTATATGTATACAGTGTGTAGTTATTCATATAATTGGAACCAAGCAAGCAAGCAACTCCTGGACCAAAAACAACAAAAAAGGAGTGGAGCTTACCATTGTTGCAGTGGAAATGGTAAGGCTTGTGTTGAGAGTATATAACTTATTTTTCTCCTTTTCTTCAATAATCCTTTTTTTTTTTTTTTTTTCTCCTCAATCATCTTCATTGTTGCCACACGTTTTGCATTACATACCTACCTGCCAGCCAATTTCATACTATCTTCCATAACATACCCAATACTTTTTATTTATTCCTCTCTCTCTCTCTCTCTCAACATAATTAGTTCAGTAGCACAAACTCTGCTTCCTAAAACCATTTATGGCACAGTTCTAACAGGATTTATCATCTATTCTCAACCTTAGAGCATTACATGCAATTGCATATGCACTTCACACAGCCAATCCTACCAAGGCTGACTTGTGACAGTTGTCTAAATGTTAGATCTGGAATTCAAGCAGAAAAAACCACCCAAAAGAAGAATCTAACTGATCATACCTTTCTCTTTGCATTCAAAATTTTCCAATTGTTTTCCCAATTCAGCTTCTATTTCATGAAAAAGATCCGACATCATTCTCCAAAATTACATTACTCTAGTAACCAATGCAAGCACGCAAATGAAGAACTAGAGGACTCATACTCCTCAAAGCCTCTCTAGAAGATCAGAAAAAGAGAAGACAATCCATAAACCATGTTACATTCTTTATATATGAGGACATTAAAACAAATTCTTTACATTAAATGAATTGGCATTGAGAGGAGGGTAATAGAGAAGAGTGAAGGTAACAGACACCCTTTTGTCAGTAAGTTCTTAATCTATGTTAGAATTTCTGCAGTCCCCACATATAGAGCAGATATCACAGGAAACATGCATGGAATGTCAGCTACGGATTGTTCTATGGATATGACACTCCTCTTCAAGGCATACAACACATGCAAAGGAGCATGCTATCCCCTTCAGTGCATTGTATGTGTAAAAAAAAAAAAAAAATTAGTAACCTAAGGTCTTTATAATTTTGAAGCAAACAGTCAAATTCCTGGCAGGCAGGGAATGGAGTAGCCAAGTCCTTAGATAGTTCTAATTTCTAAAGTTAGTATTCTTTAAGACTTATAGAGAAACCTTTGTAAATTGGTGTTCAGAGTGCAGCAGCACTCCAAAAACCACGCAAAAAGACAGTTTCAATGTCAACTACCACTTCATACTCACCTCAGTAACAAAGCTCACAGCCAATCCTCTGCCAGCTCTTGCAGTTCACCCAACACGATGAACGTAGTCCCTAGGCTACCTGAAATAGATGGAAGGTAAATTATAGTGCCCCAATGAATAGAACCTTGGAAAATCATAATTTATGACAAGATCAACAGTAGGAATGTCTAAACCACGACTAGCAACATTAGTGCAAACAATATAGAAAGTCGTCCAGATTTAAAATGCTGCACTATAAAAGGTCATAGAGCCTGTGATTTTAATGAATGAAAGGCTGCAGCCTCCACTTCAAGCTCTTCTAATAATAAACGTAAAAGGTGACAATCTCTGCATCCATGTTTAAAGAATAAGAGGGAAATGTCAAAAGAAAAATGTATGAAGAAATAAATATTTATTTTAATAAGAAACCAACCTACCCAACAAAACCCGCGAGGAAAAAGCATTCCTTGCAGCATCTAAGCAAACCAATGGTAAATTTAACATAAACAATGCTAATTGTTGCAAAGAATGAAAAGGTCGAGAAACTAATAAGAGTCATGGTAGAGATTCAAAATTTAATATTGTGCTGCTCCTTCTCAAAGCAGTTTGTATCTCCTATTCTGCTCATGACACAGTTCAAGGTTAAAAAGTTTCTATTGACATGGAAATCATAGGTTGGTATAATAACTCTTTAAAGTTGTCATACCTAGATCAGGGGCTTATCAGGGCCATGTGCAGTCTTCTCATACTCGCTGCTTAATCACTGAATTTTAGTCAAACTTCCATATCATCAAGCTAGTTAGCATCCAAGTTTTCTCAGTAATTTCAAAATTCAATGGAGGAGTGTCCAGGAGCCTTACTATGGTAATTTTTTGTACATCTCATCCTTAATTACAACCATCAAGGCTTCCAACAGTTCTTTAGCATCACAGTATATAGCTTCTCTAACTGCATTCACTAACAACCAAACAGCTGAAAATCAAGCCTTTTTCCCATTCCAAGTATTATCATCTTAAACTCTCGGCCCAGGTTGAGGTTGGGATCGGATGGAAGGATTGAAGGCCCTGGAAATTACAGGCAAATTAAAATGAAAGTTGAGTTCAAATAATTTCTGAAAAACCTATAAATAAAAAAAATAAAGAAAACAATTAAAATGCAGGGGCCATCCAAAACAAAACTAAAAAATAATAATGTAAATGAGTAACAATTTCAAAAGGAGCATATTTAATTATTTATTATTTAGTGTTCTAAAAAGGCCTGTCTTAAGACATACGATCTCAGCATGGTCTTTTTGAGAGTTTGGGAATCAGAGTAGAGGGTTTAGGGGTTCTATTGGGTTTGAAGAAAAGAAGGAAGTTTTTGTCAGCTAGAGTCGGAGATTTTTCTTGTTCTTGTCCTTCCTTATCCATGGTAAATTCACTGGTTGGTTGAAGAGAAAGTGAGAGAAACCTCTGAGAATTGGGAAGAAAAAAAAAACCCAATAATTTATCCTGGAAAATTTGATTTTAGTTTTTTTTTTTTTTTTTTCGTCGAGGATCAGGAAAGGAAACGAAAACAAAATTGAAACAGCCGAAAAACGATGTCGTATGAATGCAGCTTTGTCTTTCCCTTTTTTTTTTTTGAGGAAAATAATATCAAAACGGTGTCTTTTTGGTGAAGGTAAGAAATTACTAGTAACTGAAAATGACACTTGTGAATGAGTTTGAGCCCACACATAAATTTTTGTTGGTCGGGTACTTTTTTTTTTGTTTGGAACTGGAGAAAATGAATGTAATTACGTGTGGGGATTTGGAACACTGAGAAAAAGGAAAGGAAAAAAAAGGAAGAAAAAGAGGAATGGCAATGGAGTCACCATTCAAGGCAGATATAGTGAAAGGAAAGGTGGTTTTGATAACAGGAGGAGGGTCAGGCATTGGTTTTGAGATTTCAACACAGCTTGGGAAACATGGAGCTTCTGTTGCTATCATGGGTCGACGCAAATCAGTCCTTGATGCTGCTGTCTCTGCTCTTCAATCCCTTGGGATTCAAGTAATTATATTATTATATCCTCTATTTTTTCACAGCACCTTTTATCTCCTTTCTGTTGCTTTTGGTTGTCAGATATGCCTCTGCTTTTATCCCATCTCTATTCACTTCACTTTCTTTCATTTTTTTTTTTTTTGTTTATATTTACATGCACCAATCCATGCCTGATTCTTGTTCTCAGAATTCAATTATTCTTTTTTTTTTTTCTTTTAAGTGTGAACTTGAATTGCACAATGGGAAGTAGTCTTATTTGATCCCATCGATCCCAATTTGAAGTGGAGATCTACAAGTTAATCACACATTGCATATAAATATCAATATATTATTGTTATGTGAATTTGTCATATGCCGCACATAAGGTTTGATAATTTCTAATACACACATCATAAGTTGTCATAGTTATATCTTTTTGTTGTTCTTTCTCTCTGTTGCATGCTCTGTTGATTTTGTTTTCCTTTAGTGGCCAAATTGTATTTCTTTGGTTGCTAAAAAAATTGATAGTTGCAGCCAGTCTGATCAATAATGAAAGAGGAAAAAAAGTTATGCAGCAGCCCTAATGGACAAAAGTAAAATTGTTTGGGTGCTCAGTGCTCACTTTGTTACATAAAATCCATTCAACTGAATCAATTGCTTTTTCTTTACGTGATGGTTATTGATCCATTATTTGTTTGGCTTGCTGTATTTTGCATTGTTTTTAAAGGCTGTTGGCTTTGAGGGGGATGTTCGCAAGCAAGAAGATGCTAAAAGAGTTATTGAGTCAACTTTCAAGCATTTTGGCCACATTGACATTCTTGTCAATGCTGCTGCTGGCAATTTTCTTGTCTCTGCTGAGGATTTATCCCCTAATGGGTTTCGAACAGGTACTTTCTGGCTTTCCAACAGGTTTGCAATGTAAAAATGGTCATCTAATTTTTAATAACATTGTCTATTGATGAGACCAATTTTTAAGTTCCACAGCATTTTGAAGCTTTAGCTGGATTTGTTTGAGATTTGCTTCTTATCTGACACATGCAGTTATGGATATTGATTCCGTTGGAACGTTCACAATGTGCCGTGAAGCACTCAACTATCTCAAAAAGGGAGGACATGGAAGGAGCTCATCTGGGGTTGGATCAATTTTAAACATTAGTGCTACTTTACATTATACAGCTTCATGGTATCAAATACACGTCTCTGCAGCCAAGGTTTGTTGCATAAATTTCTTCCGCTGATGAATATTTTACTCAGTTATTCTTATTTGCAGTGTTTTCTTTCTGTTAGGCAGCTGTTGATAGCATTACCAGAAGCTTGGCACTTGAATGGGGAACTGACTATGATATTCGAGTCAATGGTATTGCCCCTGGCCCCATCGGTGATACTCCTGGCATGAGTAAACTTGCACCAGATGAGATTAGAAGCAAATCTCGAGAGAACATGCCTTTGTATAAAATAGGGGACAAATGGGATATTGCTATGGCAGCTCTGTACCTTGTTTCAGATGCTGGTGAGTTTCTTTGATACTTTTTTTTGTTATCTTGCCATCACCAATATCCATCTGCAAATTAGAGACCCTGTTATTAAATCTTAATTCACAGATGAATATAACAGTATTATCATGTAAAAATGTATCTTTTTTCTTGCTGAATCCTTGTACATGTGCATTTTGAAGGTAAATATGTGAATGGAACTACCCTAATAGTTGATGGAGGATATTGGCTGAGCAGGCCTCGCGATCTACCAAAAGAGGGGGTCAAGCAGATATCTCGGGCAGTGGAAAAGAGATCTAGAGATAAACCAGTTGGAGTTCCAACCAGCAAGCTGTAAACCAACACCATGGAGTGATCATATAAATGCTTCAACATATAACTAAAACTATAGTTTTCATATGTGAACATTTCGTGAGAGGGCTTTTAGGAACCTCTAAAAGTAGTCATTTCATCAAGTAGAACTGCTTTACCAAGCCATTGAATAAAGTCTTCTCAAGCTTTCATGATATGGGAAAACGCTACTTATTTCAGTTCTGAGGAATGTAACACATGTTTCAGCTTTTCTTTATCCTTGTCAATGCTCTAGTTTGAACGTTGTCACAGTTATCTAAAGCATTGTTGGTGCTTCCTAAACAGCATCTATATATAATAAATCATATCTCCCTGCGGATCTAATTATCAAGTAAAAAAGATCACATATCATCATGAAATATCAGATATCTGTATTAACTTTTGTGTTCATAAGAGTGGCCAAGCTACTGGCTTAGTTCTAGAATAAGGGATCAAACAAGCAACCAACCGCCTCCACACAATCCCGAGGATCATAGCAGAAAAAAAAAAAAAAAAAAAACAGAGAGCAAAATGGCTCAAAAAAAAAATACTTTTTCTTCATTTAAAGACTCGACTTATACAAGTTTTCATATTTTCTATTTCTGCATGTAAACTGCTATACAGAATAAGATTCACAAATAAATCTGAATGGGAATAGACAAAAGCTTTAAGAAAAATTACCGTCTACAATTCAGGAAACAAAAAGAATACAACCAAGCTACACTAAAAGAATACATTTAAATATGATGCTTGCCTCATTGCAGACAATACATCTAAATTCCAGGATTTTCTTCCATGATGATATGAACTGTTTGGAACTGGCTAGCCAATGCATATCAAGATCTTCAACTAAATTTTAGCAATCAAGATTCTAATTTGTTAAAAAATCTAACCGAATTCAATCATGACCATGAACATCCTAATTAGCAAGCTTTTGCAAAGGAGGACAAAGCAAAGATGCCTGTTTGTATATAATAACTCAAGCAACCTTCAAAATTCCAAGGTTATGAGATATGCTTATGGAAATTTAGGAGGTGAGGCAGGATTTCGAGCCCCTTGACATCCAACAACCAAAGGAACCAAAAGACTCACATGCCAGGATTTGTCACTGAAATATAGGCCAATTAAGATCTGTGAAGGGGAGCAGGATATATGTCCAGTGGTTGATATCGTAAGCGATTATTAGGAGGCAATGGTCCCTCCTGGGAAATTTAACAAGAAAGTTCAATAAGTGAAGTCAAATTTGATTCAACACTAAGCAAAGAATATTTCATTAGAAAAGTGAGTTTGACAAAGGGACAAGCAACTTGGACAAAAAGAGGAATAAAAAATCATAAACAACTAAGTCATGCAATCCTAAATGATAAATCCAGCAAAGGGAAGGTCAGTTTAATTAGCCTACACGAGTAGATGTTTCAAAGAATGATGTCCATATAAAAGCTGCGTTAGACATGCTAAAGAACTAATATTTATCCTTATCTTCTCAAATCTGTGATGAATTATCATAGTTGTTAAAATGCAAATAAAAATACCTCATCCAAGTTGATCTGGAATGGCTTGACAAAATCCTCAAACATCACTGGAGAGAGTCCCTTCATTTTCTCTTCAACATCCTGCAAGAAGAAACAACTCAAGATGTTTAGCAAGGTGCATAACAAAAATCTAGAGCCAAGTTGTAGGAGTTCCATAGGTGATACAACAGCCCATGACAGATGCCAAATAATTTAGAATTTACTTAGAGATGGACGTAATCTCCCAACCTTAATTCTGTTAACATGTCATAATTTAGTAATCATGGTCAACTAGACTAGTGCAGAGTGTATTTAAATAGAATTGCCCTTTTCTAAGGGCTGGCCTTGCATAATTTCAACATTCAACATACTGTAAAGAATTTTCTGGTATATGCTTCTGATAGCATTTTGAGATCTCCCTCTATAACTAATTTTCTCGTACTCTAATTTGTGAAGCTAATTCATTTTAAAGAAGGAATGAACTTTTCTTGCATAATCTCCATGATTTGAAAAAAAAAAAAAAACACAAGATAAAGTGAAAATCATGCACACTATAAAAAAAAAACCACTCAACGCAATGATGCATCCACATGGTCAAAATAGCAGTAAAATATGTGATTAGTGATTTCAAATTTGGTCTTCTTTTTTATGTGAGCAGCTGGTCACTTTAACTTAAATACCATTCTCTCACCAAATCAACTGCAAAAGTTCAGTGATCATTTTCAACAGGAACCTAGTAAGTTTTGAGCAAAGGTCAATTTATTTTCACCACTACCTGAAAATTTAATGTTTATTGAGGATGGTTATGTGCTTGTGATAAAGCACCTAGACAGTAGACAGAGAGATCTAACCAATATAATAGGCCAATTGCATTTCACAACTAAGATTGTAAAACTGATGTCAACAGAAAGTTTATCACTAAATACAAGATAAGAGTTGCCACAGTGGGTATAGAATGTGGTTATAATGGAAAAACATGTATTGATCTCAGGAGGTCTACAGGACACAATGCAGTATGATCAATCTCATCTCATGAAGTGTTTTACTACCATCATATAATAGTTAAGAACATGATTATTAGTAGTAACGTACTTCACACACTATTTTCCCCCTCACTTTCCTAACATAATTCCTATAATCTCAAGTCTTTTCTTTCTGCTTCAAGTGCTGCATATTGTTTTTATACAGGTAATTTCAGGGATAGGATGTCAACTGTACACTTTGAGAATGAGCAATCATGGCATTTACTACGATCATATGGTAGAAAGCATACACCATGTGACATGAAGATGTAGCTGGTGAACTGCATCCATGAATTAGCAGTTTCCACAAAACTTAAGAAGGCAAGAAAAGAGACTGAAAGCAAAGTATAGAGGATCAAGGACACAATGAACCAGTTGATTAAAGGGCTGAACTGACTATGATTTATTCTAAGAGTGGATCTCAAGGATATTAAAAAATTATCAGTGACAACAAATCAGAGAAACTGTCTGAAATTAACTCAACTAATATATGGAATAGGTGTATGCTAGCATACCAATCCGGTTATCCTTGACTTTCCAACAGTTCCTTTGCCATTATATCCAGCATGTCCCTGTTGTCTTTCAAAGCATTTATTGCAAGCTCTTCAGTCTCCTCGATGTACTGCATGAACACCAAGCATCATAATTTTAATTGAAGTTAAAAGGTTAGAAAAATTAAACATATCTTTCATCTTTATACCCAAAAGGAAAAAGAAAAAGCATCTCCCTGTCTGTTGAACAAACAAAAATCGTACACTCACAGATACCATAAAGGCAGGCACCTCTTTAGCTGTTATTTACTTCAACCATATATGGAAACATGGATTAATAACAAACACAGGAAAGGTGAAGTATATCTATTCTGATTGAAACAAATTTGTTGGTAAAACTAGGCTTTTTCCTATAGTATGGTAGCAGAATACAATTTTACATGTTAAGAATTCAGTAATCCGTAATATAAAAGTAGGATTTTACAGTAAAAACTTCATCCTACTTCTTTCACATCAATTTCAAACAGGCCATCAGGTAATTAAATGATTAAGCTACAGAGGAAGTTAATATTAATCCCATGTGAATATCAGAGCAGCAAAATGTAATTTGCAAATTATAACTAGTTTCAGCAGGGGCAGACATTCTTTCTTCCTCTTTCTTATATACATGCATATGTGCGTGTGTGTAAAGATAATATATATGCACGGCTAGGGCTTAATTCAAAACAAGTGGCTTGCTCAGTGCTTCAAACTACTCCATGCAAGCTCTTACATGCAATTACATGAATGCATATAGATAAACAGGTGAATACATAAGCAAATGCAGTAATTAATTAATCACAAGGTTGCTGTCACACGTTCATATGTTCTGTGCATGCATATGACAAAACCAATTGATCTTGCAATAAGGAATCTTTTGGGCTGTAAAGAAGTCAAATCTAAGACTAAGAGAACGATATCAAGTCTGTCAACCAACTAAATATTGAAGAAAAAAGATCTCCTTAAAAACCTCTCTTCGATTATGAAAAATAAAGACATTTTCACTACATTCGTTCTTCACAGACGGAAATCACATTATAAAAAACCAGATAATTGTAACTTCTAAGCAGCTAGTAGCACCTATTACTAAGAGACTACTGCTACGATGTCACAATAGCTTACAACAGTCATAAAGACAGAGCAAGCTAAAATTACCCTTGTCAACTCTCGAGTAAACAGCTCAGATACTGCCAACTGTCATATTGGCAGGAATTACATGAGGGTCATCCCACTAGCACATAAAAACGTAGGATAAAAAGAATTAGTTAACAAAAAGGAAAACTTATTCAAAATGTTTCTAATAAAATATGCAACTTGAGACCCTATATTTTATTAATTCACCATCTGGGTTATCTGGCTGATCTAACAGTCCCACTCTTTTCGTTAGTTGAGTAAGCCCTAACCTTGCATTTTGAGTACAGATCACCATTTCTCTTACAATCTGAAGAGACGCGTTGAGTGAGAAAAACAAGATATGAAAGGGTACTTTTTCATATAAAAAACAAAGATATAGATTTAGGGATGTCAACAGGTCGGGACGGGACAGATTTTTCTCACCCCAACTCGATTCGATTTTATATTCGTCAAATTTGAATTTGAATCGATTCAAACTTTTTTTATTTTTTTAATACTTGAACTTGAAACCAACTTGAAATTAATAAAATATTTTTTAAAATATAAAATATTATTTTTTAAAATATAAATATTTAAATAATAATTATATAAATATATAAATAAAAAATTAATTTAAAAATTATTTTTATATAATATCAAGTCGGGTCGGGTTTGGGTTTTAGACAAACCCGAACCCGACCTCGACCTTTCTTTAGTATTACCCAATCCGATCCGATCCGATCTAAAACTTAATTTAAAAAAAAAATCGATTCTATGAGATCGAGTTGAATCGAAATCCGTTGGGGACAGGTTCAGTTGTCCACCTTAAATATAATCTATTGTAAAGTTGATACCCTAAAATGCATTTAGTAAATATGATGCCAAAATAAGGTGCATCTAATAATATGAATCAAGACAATCTTTTTAAAAGCTTAGCTCATACTTCATAGACATGATTTCTTGGAGCCTAAAGCTAAGTGAAATACGCCCCCTTATTATCTGAAGGTGAGTTATGAAAATGTCTAAAAGCCATGA